TGTGTAAATAGTTTAAACAAAGACGAATATACGATGTTATAATTGCCTTAAGGAAATTTACTTAATAAACTTGAAACCAAAAACACAAAAAAAAAAAAAAAAGAAAATCTTCTTAATAATTTTCTTTAAAAATCAGAGGAAAAAATTTAATGTGTTGGAGATATGTTGAACTTTGCTATGCCATTTTTGTGTTTTGGCAGATCATTAGTCTTAGTTCGTCTGCCAACCATCTTTCAACCATAAAGACAAATGCAGATGGATATGCAGCAATGATAATGAAAGTGCTTGACAAAGATAATATTGGATACATCATGGTAAGTTTTCTTGAAGATAACCCGAGGATCGATAATTTTTCGATTACTACTTGTGTTTGTAACTTTGTGGTGAATTTAAAACAGATGGGTAGTCTTAAATCCTTGCTTCTGGAAGCTGAAACACATTCCATCAGCACAAACAGTGAAGAAAGAAAGAAGTTGGGCGACATGATAAGTAACAAGCTTAAGCCTACACTTGACCCTAACCCGTTGAAGAGATGGTACCATAAACTTAGATTCTTCGTACTGGATAACTGGCAAAGAATTTGGGTAATAGTGCTATGGCTCATGATTATGGCCATCCTCTTCATATACAAATATATTCAATACAAGAATAGAGAAGTGTATGAAGTGTTGGGGCATTGTGTGTGCTTGGCTAAAGGTGCAGCTGAGACACTGAAGCTGAACATGGCCTTGATTCTGTTACCTGTATGCAGAAATACCATTACATGGCTTAGAACTAAAACTAGTTTGGGTGTTATTGTCCCTTTTGATGACAACCTCAACTTTCATCAGGTAAAACCACATTTGATTTTGTTATTTTCAACCATCTATGGTAGATATAAACGTTTTAAATGAAAAGAAACATAGTTTGTACGTGCTTTAAAATTACTCTGAACTGTCCTTACCTAGTTATAAGAAAACACTCTTTTTTAATAAAATTGCAAAAATATCTCTCATTCTTATTATGATATATAGCAAAATTGATGGCCAAACCTACAGGTTATAGCGGTGGGAATCATGATAGGAGTAGCCATACACTCGGTGACCCACTTGGCGTGCGATTTTCCACGGCTAATTGCGGCAACTCCAGAGGAATACATGCCTCTACGAAAATTCTTTGGAGAAGAGCAACCAAAGAGATACTTGCATTTTGTGAAGTCAACAGAAGGAATAACAGGACTCATAATGGTTTTCTTGATGGCAATTGCTTTTACACTAGCTATCCCTTGGTTTAGACGAGGGAAGCTCGAAAAAAAGCTTCCAGAGCCACTAAAGAAACTAGCTAGCTTCAATGCCTTCTGGTATATACTCACCATTTGTTCGTGATAGTATACATTCTCCTTGTCCTTCACGGATACAACTTGTATCTCAGCAAAGAATGGTACAAGAAAACGGTAAGTAGTTCGATATTCAACATTTTCAATCGTATAATCTTCGCGTTTAGAAATGTAACAAACTTGCTTATTTTGTTTGTAAACGTGGATGTACTTGGCAGTACCAGTAGCTTTCTATGCATGTGAGAGATTAATACGAGCATTTAGGTCCAAAATGGAGACGGTAAAAGTTATTAAGGCTGCGACTTATCCTGGAAACGTATTGACATTGCACATGTCAAGGCCTACAAACTTCGAATACAAGAGCGGTCAATACATGTTTGTAAACTGTCCAGCAGTCTCACCGTTTGAGTGGTATGCAAAAATCACTCTTTAAGAGACAACAACTCTAAACTCATCTCAATATCATCTCACGTGATTATATATATATATATAACTACATGCATCCATTTTCAATAACTTCTGCACCACATGACGAGTATTTAAGTGTTCATATAAAATCACTTGGAGATTGGACAAAGGCTATCAAAGGAGTTTTCTCCGAGGTCTTTTTTACTTCTAAATCTCTCAAAATTTTAAGAAATATTATAAGTCTTGAAGTCGGGGAAAGATAGTTAATTTGAGAAAGATTTTGTGTTATATCTCAGGTATCTATGCCACTTCCGGTCGGAGAGATGTCGCATGGTGCAAATAATTCCGAGTAAGTTTTTTATTTTTTTGGGCAAAATAATTCCGAGTAAATATATTCACAAATTTGACACAAAAACCAACAGTAAGTATAAACAAAAATTTGAAAAATCGCTAAAAGTATACATATACCATTATGTTTTCTTGGACTATTATTCTACCTAAGAAAACTTAGTGTTTTTTATTTTGTTATGGCAATGACCCCTCCTTCCACAGTTTCCCGAGAATTATGATTGATGGTCCGTACGGCGCACCAGCACAAGACTACAAGAAATACGAGGTGGTTCTGCTGATCGGCCTTGGGATTGGAGCCACCCCAATGATAAGTATTATTAAGGACATAATCAATAATACGGAGACCAAAGAACTTTCTCAAGTTGACCTAGGGAAGGTGGGATCACAACATGAGCCACAAGGTGAAAAAGAAACTTTCAAGACGCGAAGGGCTTACTTCTACTGGGTAACAAGGGAGCAAGGCTCATATGATTGGTTCAAGAACATCATGAACGAGATTGCTGAGCGGGACAAAAATAAAGTCATAGAACTACACAACTATTGCACTAGCGTCTATGAAGAAGGAGACGTTCGTTCAGCGTTCATACATATGCTTCAGTCTCTAAACCATGCCAAGAGTGGTTTAGACATTGTCTCTGGGACCAAGGTTATGTCCTACTTTGCCAAACCTAATTGGGAAAACATTTACAAACAGATAGCCATGGATCACCCTGGCTCTAATGTTGGTAAGCTCTCTCACTTTCCCTCATACATGGTTGGTTAATTTGGTTCTCTTGTAACAAGATTTAATTTTGATGCATTTTTAAAGACATGCTTGCATCGACTTGCAAGAAATTCTCAATGGCATATCGCACTATCGACTCATATCATGCAAAGATTAGCTTAGGCTCATGCTTTTTTTTTCGGTCTTGCATTATGCGGTAACCCGGTAGTGTCGTACACAGACACTAGCAAAAACTATTATACTACATGTCTTAGTAAACTTTATGAGTTTCACATGTTCAAAGTCATTGGTGCATGTTATAGTAACTATGCTCTAGAATATTTTTTTGGTATTATAAAATATCATTGTGTGATTATGATTAATTACTATAAAAAAAAAAAAGAGAATGATACAAGTTGACATAAACGTGCAGGAGTGTTTTATTGTGGAGCCCCGGCATTGACAAAGGAGTTAAGGAATTTAGCTTTGGAATTCGCACATAAGACAAGAACTAGATTCTCCTTCCACAAAGAAAACTTTTAAAGATAATGAAGCCTATACTCACAATGCTGATAAAGTATGATGACCAACAAGATGATAACTATTATGGAGTATGTGTGATTGTGTGTTATGCTTTTGCTTTTTGAAAAGGGTAATATTCTACCCGAGGGACCTCAAATCTATATATATATGGAATATGCGTGATTGTGTGTTATGCTTCTGCTTTTTGAAAAGAGTAATATTCTACCCGATCGACCTTAAATCTATATATATAATAGGAGAGTTGTCTCTCCATCTAGGGTATCCACATCATCATCCAAGTCATCATATTGTAATTTTGTGTGGGATCTATATATTTTAAATATTAAAAAACCAAAAAAAAAAAAAATTTATAACACAAAATATGAAATTTTTGAATAGAGATTGGATAAATATAAAATTAAAAAGTAATTCATCTATGAAAAATACACATTTAAAATTAAAAATATAAAAATATATATTTAATGTTAAAGTATCTATTCATGATAATGATTAAAAATAAGAAGGATTGAGTACTTATTATTATTTATAATTATAATTAATATAAATAGTCACATTAATAAAATTTCTATATTATCTGTGTTTTCTAAATTAAAAAATGGTGGGCTTTTTAAAAATCAAGTGAATGCCGAAAAAAAAAAACTAAATATTAATCAGTGTTATGAAATTTTAACATAGATCGAAAAATTTAAGGTTATTTGAATTTAAACAAAAACTATCCTAAACATCACAAATAAAAATAAAATAATCCGGTCGAATAAGAAACGGTGTAATAATAATATTTGCGAATGCTATTTGGAAATTAGAATAGTAATGGTATATTGTAGAGTTTTTAATAAGAAGTAAAAATTAAGGATTATAAAAATGTATTTTAAAATTAGAATGATTTATATGAGTTCGTAAGTTACGAATTTTACGAAAATCAACATTAAGAATACTATATAGAATCATAATATACGTCAAATTATATATGTGAATTTGTTATTTGTATTTTTCAAACGGTCAAGATAAAGTGGAAAATTTGATGTTCAAAATCGATGTTTGTGAAAAGGAATCCGTCCATATATGAGATTTGTTGTCTATAAAGCAATTTTACATGGACCAAAAAATTTTATGACTAAGGTTCACTTTAATAAAAAGATCATGCAACTTATAAAAAAGAATTTGAGTATTGAAAAATACGAATGAGAAAATATATAAGATCTATCTTGATAACTAATTATAGTCGAGTATATTATATGTGAGCTAATATTAGGTGAAAAGAGAGTAGATGTCGGGAAACGACGAGTGAATCATAGAAGATAAAAAGAAAAATTGTACGTACCCAAATATATTTACTACTACGGAAAGATAAAGAAAATGAATAAAGAAAATTAAAAGATTCGCATTGATAAAAAAATTTAAACTAAAACCGGCGCAATACGCAGTTACATACTCTAGTTAATAAATAACATCA